AAATATAAAAGCAGGATATTATAAATTGAAGGTAATGTTAACATAAAAAGAAACTGTGGTTAGCGTGATGCGCGATATCGTTAGCGATAGTGCGTTCGTTATTAAGAAGAATTAAAAAATACGGTACATTATTTTTTATACGTGTATACTTCTTTTCGCAGAAACACAGACCAATTAAGTTCATGTAATAAACTTAAGAGAATTTGCTTTATTGTAATAAATACATAAAACATATTAACTTAGAATGCAGATGTATTTGTGGCAATATACATAAATATTGGTGTATGTAGCTTACACCCTAAATGTTATTTAGATTTCTTATTTTGTCTGAATCATGACGTTTGACAGTACTTTTTACTCTCAGGCTTTTTTTATAACATAAACCTGAAAACGAGACATTAAAAAGTTGTAGAATGAACAATTGCATTTTTCGATTTACTCATTACTTTATTTCATTTTTATAATTACCCATTGGGTTTTAGGCATTTATTGCGTGCAAAATTGAATAATTAATTAAAAAACAGCCTTCATGTTGATTTAGCAGCATGCCTGCGTTTTACTTCCCAATTATAAATACGTGCCATATTGACCTCTGTTGTAGTAAACTGATCTTTTACAAAGTCTAAATCATGCTCTACATAACTCAGCTTCTTTTTTGCTGCTTCAATGTTCTCTGTTAACATTTTGTGAGCTTCATCCAAATCATATTCTAACATAACATTAGCTCCTAGCCACAAGCACACTTTATCTGTAGGTGGAATAATAGCCTTTGCAAAAACTTGCTCGGATAAGAGAAAATGAGTTTCTAGTTCTTGGCTGTTGTCCTTCTTCAATTTCTTAACCATTTCTAGAGCTCTTTCTAGATCTGGGATTTGTTCTTTCAAACGTCTACGTTTACTGAACAGGTTGTATTCCATGAATTTATATTTGCTATTGTTCTCATCCAACGTCTGGAGCACCTTGTCTGCAGACTCATTTTCAGGTCTTGCCATAAAAGCATCAACATCATCCTGCAATAACATTAATTTTAAATTAAATAAAAATGTACTTTCAATATCTCGTCTTTTTTATGACCATATAAGGTTCGCGTTCTGATGAAAAAATATCCCACGTATACTTTAAGAGAATACATTACTAACAAAAGATTTCTTATAAAACTAAGTAAAAATATTAGAAAAAACTTATCGTTTGTTTTATAGGAGTTTTTATTTGCAGCTATGAGCATTATTTTCTTATAAAACTATCCATGGGGTAAGAGTACTATATATTTAAATTCGTACAATTCAATATATTTGACTCCGGCAAAATTATGATAATATTATATAAATTTTATGTTATACATTGATGTACTTACTACAAATTCAGCCTCCGGTATTCCAGCATATGACTTCTTCTCTTTATCCAGCTCAACGTCTGCTTTATTTTCACCGTCTTCCATCTTGAATCACGATACAAATTGGCATATGACACGACTGGTTTACATGTTCCTTTCGCGCGTATTATTACGAATTTTTAATTTCATTATAAATTAGACGAATATACGATTTCATAATATTGAGCATGCAAATTTGAAATTACTGTTCGTTTAAAAACAAAAGTTAATAATACTTTTATGAAATATACATATATAATAAGTATATCACAGCCTATACTAAGTATATAGAGCGTGAACGGTGAACTAAGCTGTGAACTAATCTAAGAAATAGAAAATAGAAACCAGCCGGAGAGGGATATTGCGTTTCTGCTTCCAGTTTCCAGCTACAATCCGGAAGTTCTATTTTAAATTATTCTGTTAACAGACTACAGATAATGTTCTTTTAATATATTATGTTAATTTATAATATTTCTTATTTTTAAAGTTTGAAGCTTGTGTCATCGTTTTGACTTATAGCCCAAACATCCTTAACAAAATCTTACAACACTGATCTGTTCCTGGCATGGTTCTCGGTTCCCTTCCCATTCTTTATGCGTCCGAGAGAAGTATCTCCTCGGTGATGTAAATTATTACTGAGGATTACTGCTGAGGAATGAAAAGTAAAAAGGAAAAAATTCCTCAAAACTTTTAAGTGAAATCCGGTTTCACTATCCCTCAACGAATAGCGCTGCGATCAAAATTCTTCAAATGTGGATAGTAATTTTGAAAGTTTTCAATCTACGTTCATGTTGTTCATGAACGACCGTAACTAAAGACTCATGAATTGGCGCGCAGCGTCTTTATTCTGCGTGTTTTCGATATTATATCGTGCAAATGGTGGCAATCGCAATGTTTTGTTCGATGTTTCTTAAAAATTAACCGAACTTGTTTTACGTTGTGCGCAATAGAAATAAGAACAACGTTTGTTTCTTGTTTCTGTACACGTAAAAGCTCGCGATCGACATGGTGAAGCTTCACAAGAAATTTTTCACGGGTGATAAGGTTTTCGCAAAAGTTCGAGGTTATCCGCCGTGGCCAGCAAGAGTAAGCTTAACTACAGATTTTGCATTTGTTTCGCGCAGTTTTTACAGGATGCACAATAACGATAATTTACATTATATCTAGTTGCGACCATAACATCCTTATTGTTACCTCTTACGTATCATGGTATCAAAAGAAAGGGAACTGATATCAATGTATTGTTCGGAGATTATGTTTACATCAAAACTATACCAAAATTAATATAATTTCATCAATTTAATACAATTTCTGATTGTTTGATATTATTAACTTAATCCGAGACCATTTGTTTTACTATTAATTCTAAACAAGATATTTTTTAACTTATTCATAATAATAAATAAACAAATGTATTATACTTGCAAAAAGAGACTACAAAATAATATTGTCAACTTCCTGTTAGGTTGAGAGAGTTATTGATCCTAATTCGAAGAATGCGAAATACAGTGTTTATTTCTACGGCACAGGAGAAACGTAAGTCTTATAAAATATTATTACTGTATATATTTAACTATAATATATATTAACAATTTTATATTTTTTTTCAGTGCTGTGTGTAAAGTTGATGAACTATATACATATTTGGAACATAAAGCAAAATTTGGTAAACCTAGTAGAAGGAAGTTTTTCCATGAGGGATTGGTACAACTAGAACAAGAGCTAAAAAATGACAGAAATAAGGCATCAAATCTTGCCGACCTCAAAGGTAAATTAAGCATATTCTATTGTACGTAATATAATTATGACAAACATAGAATATTATTATTTACATTTATATAATTTTCCACAACTGAAGAAGCTGGAATTGGTGAAGGAGGAGGTAAAGAAGCTGAAACGAACGTACCAACAGTTAGTGCTGCAGACAGTGATTTGGAATCAGGATCTCTTGTTATTGATGAGGAGGAGAAAAAGAAGTCTATGAAAAGAAGGACTATCGCTGGAACTCATCCTGTAAATCATTTTTTTTACATATTTTCTTATGTATAATATTCAATGTGGAGCTTTGCTCATCTATGAATATTGTTTAAGAGAGNAATCCCTTTCAAAATATAATTCATTTTTTTTTCTTTTTTTTAATGTGCAGGCCATGTTTACCATACCCGAAGGTCAGTCGTTTTGGCAATCATTTTCAGACCAAGTTGTCCATTTCAAAGAATTAACGAAGGACATGCCTGAGGAGAAAGTATTTTCTCTAATGTCTGACCCTGCTTGTCCAGGTAAATAATATATCTCTGCAATTATCTATTTACACGGGGCTTGTATATTGTTCTATGTTGGATTTTTATTAATAAAAACTAAAATTGCAGATGCACCAGAGATTATACCAGCGGATGAAAGTGGCAGTCAACCGGATCCAGAAGCATCTATTGAGAGTGCTAAATCAGAAGTGCCTACTAGGAGCGAAACTCCAAAGGACTCAGAGGCCAAGTAACGAAGCGATGTTTTTGTATCTGATAAATGTGAAAAACTACACTTATTTTCTTTTTTACTGATACGGCATACCGTATAACACGAAAATCACGAAGAAGAGAAATACGGATTCACTTTTTCACGCATAAAATCACATATTCTAGATAAATCCGGACACTACGTATATTTAATTCAAATGGGTCTTCTAGTAAAATTTTCTCGTTGTCATTATCTCGTCTACAATATTTATAGTTAGGAAGCTCACTATATGGATAAACAGTGTTTAATCGGTTAAGTATATTAAATGAAATTGGTTAATTATAGAGCACTTAAGAATGTTTAGAATAGACATCATCATTATTTACCCTATTCGATAACATATTTCTTTTATAATTACAATTCCTTCTACGTTCTTGGGCAACACCAAAAAAATATATGTGTATTCTTGAAGACTGCATAGATGTCTTCGTCGTCTAATGTCAGTTAAACCTTGTCGACTTAAGTAGCAACAGATATCGAATGTATATATAAGAAGAAACAAAATATGAAAACAGCAATACTTTTCTTGTTGGTTTCGAAATAGATATGTGTTTGTAATTATTGGGATAATGAATTTTGCTTAATCTGTTGTGTGTTTCATCGCACTTTAAAGGCATAATTAGAATATATTACTACTAAATCAGGAAGTGAGAAAAATAAAATTTTAAATAAATCTCATCTAAGGAATATCCTAAAAGATTATATAGAAAATACTGTTTAAATTCAAATTTTTAGCTTATTGAAAAAAACTGCGATTGTAATGTAAACTAGAAATTACATTTTTATACGAAAAAAAAGAATATAAGTACATAGATTTTTGTCTCATTGGTCAATACCTTTCAGGGCACAATGGTCATTCAACGGTAATTATTTCCTTTCAAGGTACAGTTTCTAATAGATACCATTAACATGAATATACCTTCATATACATTTGTCGAAAAACAACAATATTGTAAATGTAACATTGTTAATAAAATACAAAATTGAAACATTTTTCGACAGATGATAGAAAAATAATCAATCTCC